TTAAGTCTTTTAATAGGAAAAAAATACCAAATAAAATAAATTTAAAGTTTGATTGTTGTCTGATTAATTGTTTAAGTCGTAAAATTTCCTCTTTTAATATAATTATTTCTTGATTATTTTGTTCTAATTTGTTATGAATATGATCTATATGTCCAGAAATACTATTCATATTTCCAAACCATCAAAAATGTTTCCAATTAATTTATCTAACTCTAGATCTAAATTTCTTTGTACTAAAATTCTAAATACAATATCAAGATAATGTTGTTTGGTTATTATGCTTGCAGTTTTATAATGATTATTATTATATATTTTTAAATGCAAATATCTGGTACACCAATTAGGATTAGGATAGTTATTTATATTATTTGTAATTAAATTTTTTATGTCTATTAATTCCTCTTCAGTTGTAAAAACTATCTTTTCATATATTTCAAGAATTGTTACTATTACTAATAGTGATAAATGTATATCTTTAATATAATTTTTAACAAAAAATGGTCTTGTTTTAAATATATGAATTTTTGCATTTTCTCTTAATTTTTTCATTTTTCGTTGATTATTTTTAGATTTATTTTCTTTTTCATTATTTTTAGATAAATCTTCTTCTCCTTCAGATAGATTCTTATCATCTATTTTAGGTTTTTTTGGATGTTCTTCTTTTTCTTTTTCATCAAGATCATGTTTTTTATATTTGCTAAGAATATTATCTATTATTTCTAAATATTCTTTTTCTTGAAGATTATTCTTGATTTTTTCTAATAATGTCTTTTCATTATTATCATTCTCTACAAATTTATTATATTTGTTAAATATTTGCTCATCTTGAAATATTTCTCGAATTGTTTTATACAAAGGATTTTTTTTGATTGTTTGTTGTAAAAATTGTTGTATATCATCAAATTTAGCACAAGAAATATATAATTTTCGATAATATTTATTATCTCTGTTGATGAAATAATGATCTTTATCCTAATCATTATATATTTCAACAATTTTTTTTTTAAATATTGAAGATTTTGTTTATCTTCAATATCATCTAATTTATTAATTTCAATATCAAAATAATTTTTTTTATCTAATGTTTTAATAAAATCACCATGTGGAAATACTTTTAAATATCCTAATAACAACTCTTGAAGTAAACAATAAACCTTTTCTTTTAATATTATATCATTTAATAATGATTCAAAAGCTTCTAAGAATGTGTTAATATCTTTATAATTTAATTTAAAATTTCTTTTTAGATATAATTCTTGTCGCAATTCTTGTAATTTATTTTGTTTACATAGAGTCTCAAGATATTCTTGCTCTAAGGTTTGAATTAACAAATCATATTTTTCTCCTTCTGCAAGTGATTGTTTATCCTCTTCTTGTCACATTGAACGTTTAATTAAATCATAAAATAAATTATTATACTGATTTTTCTTGTATCTTTCAGCTGATTTTTATTTTGGTCTTCATTTAATAATGTTTGATTAAGATTATTAATTGCCATAGCTAAATCACTATTATTTGATAAATCTTGAACACATTCTCTTCAATAGTATGTATTGACTAATCTTAAATATCTTTTATAATTTTCTATTTCTTTTTCTCTTAAAATAAGATCTAAACGTCTTCATCGTTTTTGTTGTAATGATGTGACATCTTTGTTAATTAATAAATTTTAATTTTTTAATTCTCAAATTTTATTATCTATTCTTGCTCTATCTTGTAATATTGTATCTGAATCAATTTTTAGTATCTCTTCTTCTAGCTCATCATAATATTTGTTTGATAGTTTTTTTAAGGTTTCATCTCTTAAAATATTTAATTCAACACATTGAGGTTCAAGTAAATTTTTGCTTCGTTGTATTTCTCTATACCAATATCTATTAACTTCTAATAATTAAACCTTTTCTTCATTTGAAATACCTCTTCTTATATGTTGATAATTATTAGTTCCAGGCTGATCTTTTTCTAATTCTCGAATTCACTCTTCTTGTATTTCATGAAGACTTTGTTTATCATCTTCTGTAAAATCTGATTCATTAATTTTTCTAATACATTCATTTTTTAGTTTTTCTAAATCTGTTTTATTATGTATTTGTTCTACAAATTCATTATATTTTTGATTATATAATAATAATGATAAATGTTCTTTACGTATATTATTAAGTTGTTCTTTTAAATTATTTGGTAGTATTGTATCAATAGTAATTTGCTAATGCCAATATTGAAAATCTTTAAGTTGTTCTATAACAGTTTCATCATTAATATTATCTTGTAGATTGTTGTATCTTTGAACTATTCGTTCTTGTTCAAGCCATTTTTTTTGCAAATTATCTTTTTGAGTTGTAGTTAATGTTAAAGAATTTTCTATCTTATTATCAATTTGACCTCCTGTTTTTAGTAAATTTAAATCAAAAGTATTTTTTATCTTTTCTTTAAGTCTTTTATAATCATAATTTTCTGTTTGTGAATTAAGTTTTGCAATATTTATTAACAAATAATTATAATATTCACTATCAGTATCAAAAAGGTTTGGTTTATATATATATTTTTGATAACAACACTCTCTAAATAAAGAAGAATTTATTTTACACTTGCAATTCATTTTATTAAATAATATAATGTTTTTAAATCTGGTTAAATTAATAAAAAAATACAATAATATAAAAAAAGAAAAAGAGATATTTATATATTAAATTATTTATCACAACATTTTTGCATTAATGTAAACAAATTATCCAATGTATCACCTCCAGAAAAATCAGGCTTCCATGCCTCTTCAATATAACTAGAATTAAAAAATACTGGAATACCACAATTTTCTTCTGTTAGGGTTCCTCAAAGTCGAATCAAATCAAATATTTACATATTTGAATTTGATCAAATCAAATCAAATATATTTGAATATTTTGTCAATTTGAATTTGATTTGATTTGAAATTTCTGTATTTGAATTTGATTTGAGATCAAATATTTGATCGAATCAAATCAAATCAAATCGAATTGTGGAACCATATCTTCTGTCATATTAAAATTTTCACCCAATTCAATAGCTTGAAATCGACTATCCTTTCAAATTTAAATTTATACATCCAATCAAAATAATCAACAAAAATAACAAATGCATAATTTCCTTTATCAAATAAAATAGTATCATTTTCATTATTTTCTAACTTACAAACATTTAACTTATTTAAATTTAAACATAAAATTGCTTTATATTCTTGAAATTCACAACCATCACAGGGAATTTCAATTTCTGTAGCTAATACTAGATTAATATATTCTCTAAATTGTATATCATTTATATTAGCAGCATCAATAATAATATCACCAATAGCCATATTTTTATCTTTTGCAGCATCTTTAAAACATATTTCAACAATAAAAAGTTTCAAGATTATTGTATCCAACATTGGAGTTATATTTGTATATTGTAATTTGTTAGTTTCATTATCTATACTTGAAGATATTCTAATTCTGCTTTGTCTGCTTTTATTATGATAACTAGTAAATTTTAAATGAATAGAAATATTATGCAGCTCTATTTTTTTTTGATTGGTATTTATTTGTTGGAATAATCTAATGAATCCATATCGTTTTCTCAATGGAGGTATAATAGTATATCGTGTTTTTTGGTCACCAACTTCTTTTGATTTTATTCCAAATTCAATTTTATTAACTGAAACACCATTATCTCTTTTAGATTGACATGCATTTAACTTTGTTTTGCTACCACAATGTCCAATAACACATGTATCTACTTTGTTAAGAAATTTTCTTGAAATCATTTTATTTATTAAACAAAAAAGAAACTCATTATATTAATAGAATTTTAAACAAATAAAATATAAATAAATAATATTACTAAATATAATAAAAATAAATTAAATTATGGTTTAATATCATCTTTTTTTTCACAACATTCAGTGATTCTTGATAATAAAGAATTAAAAGTAGGTCCATCTTTCATATCAGGTCTCCAAGCATATTCGATATATCCATCACTAAAAAAAGCTGGAATACCCGAATTACTATTTAGTGAATTAAAATTTTTTCCAAATAGGTAAATTTCACCATCATTGTCATTTGTATTTTTATATTTAAATTAATACATCCAATCTATATAATCAACAATCATCAAAAATGCATAATTTGCTTTATCAAATGTTCTCATTTCATCTTCTTCTGCAGAATTTAA